TTTTTCAGTTACATAGATTATATAGATCTGAATGTGACGGGAATAATGAGGAGGAGGTCGTAGCCTATTTGTGAATTCACCTGTAAATACAAAGGAGACCCACCGAAACGTCAGCTGGAACATCTGGTAACCAGTCCGAGATTTCAACCCGATACCTCGTACGAGGTAACACGCATCATTTAACATTTAAGTTATTGTGCTGTAAATAGCTTACAGTTTCATTGTTTCACTTGCACATGGAAACTTTGTAAGTTTGACATTTGACACAGGAAATGCCTGAGAGCGGCAGTCTGTTAAATGTTTTGTGGGCAAGAACTCCTGGAAATATTCTGGCTGTAAATATTAAATCTCTTACATGTGATATGCGCTTTTAAGGAAACAGGCATCAACACTTTACGACTGACAGCACAGAACACGATCTGTCCCTCGTGGTCGTTAATACGAGTGCTTGACGGGAACCCAACCGACCTCATTATAGGAAGCGTTGAGTCTGCGGACTGAGCTACCCCATCAGCCTACTGAGACTCATAATGAATTAAATGTGTGATACAGATCAGGGGTAGACATACGCTTATATAAATACGTTTCAAATATTTAGATGAAAAGTGTGCAAATATGGTAATTGACTCAGACTTTATTTTTGGTAAGAGAAAACTCATCTTATAATTAGAGGGTTCCCAGGCAATGCCCGCTCGTCCTTCTGATAAGGATAGAGTAATATTAAAGACTTTTGAGTGATATGAAAGAGACAGCAGCTTGTATTTGTATGTTACTGAATGTCAAAACTATAATTTGGAAAGTTAAGTCAATAATTTAGTGGCCTTCAAAATAATGGGGCAAATTCTGTTTAATTTAAATTGGGAAGCACGCAGTAACAGCTTGGATCTTGGAGGCCATCTCGGAATTTGCTTAAAGACAGAGGAAAACATAGAAAAACTGTGTCAAGATGATCAGTCGTAGGACCTTCCAGATGCATAGTGCCGAGGCTCGTATAAATAATATAGTCCTATAAAAATTAATTTCTTACCTCGATGGAAACACTACACGTCCAAATTCAAAATCAGTTGAATAATTCTGTTTTAGAAAATCATCGCTTTTTATACTGAGAGTTATTCAATCAAAGGCTGGCTATGGTATTGGCAGTATTAAACTTATTTATCCTATCAGGGATTTAGTTAGTTGACTGGCTGAAAGAGACGAGAACACTTTGTTACGAAATATTATGCTGAAACTGAATGGAGTGTCTGAGAAAACAGAGAGGAATTTATGTTCGGGAAACCCATGCCTCGACCGTGATCCGAACAGGATTCTTTCGTCACCGCTTTGAGCTAACCTGCTCAGGTTCCCCGTCTGGGGGGACTCGGTTCAATATTTTAAGAAAATAACATTTTGGCCTAACGTTGCAACAGAGTCCGATGATACAGATTGAATCACGAACAAATTAAAACAATTTGCTGGTTGGTCCTGTTATCAAACAAATGGACCTCAAAATGAATATCCACTGTCGAACTCGGTCCGAAAAATCATATTCCAGTCAAATATTACTCAAGAGTCCGATGGCTACCAAACTCAAACAAAGTAAACTTGAATGTGTGGGATGTTGTATTTTAAAATACTAGAGCAGAGCACTCCTTTTGGAGCTCCTCGGGGGGGTTTAGTCAAGTTTTCAAAACGTAACCAACCCCCCCGAAAGGGGGATTGGTCGTTTTTTAAAATCTTGAGAAAGAAACTAAACCAACACCCCCCCCGAATGGGGGGTTAAAACATTTGACCAAACCCCCTTCGGGGGGGGGGTTAGTTTAGTGACTTACTTAAGTCATTTGTCACGTCATTTGTTTACCCGGTATTGTTGTGTTGGTACAACAATGTCGAGTAAACAAATATAAGGTGACATTGTTTGACGACGTTATTTTTTTGAAGACGACGAAAATCAAAAAAATTTATAGTAGAATATAGAACTGAGAGGCTTAATGTTTTGTGGCTGTAATGAACATTGCCACAAATTGAACGTTAAGTGATAGGTAAGGTGAGACAAAATTTGGTGTCATCCAGCGCCGACTGGTGTGAAACAGGAAGAACGGTCTTTGTTGGTCTCATAAAGGAGACGATCATTAAGTGCAGTTTGAACTTTTTACAACACATCTTTCGAACACTTCAAGTATTAGACTACACAGTTATATTTTTAGGACAACAACCTCATCTGTATTTTTTTACGATCTGGAAACTTCTCAACATATTCATCAGCGGTTTCCTTCTTTTTTTCTTACTTTCTTTCTGGTACACATCCTTCGCTCTTTTTTCGGTGTCGAACTTTTGACGCTTCATCATCTCCACTCTTCCCACAACACTTTTTTTCCCTCATCATTACACTTCTCATCTTTAGTTCACAAGTCTCCTTCTTCCGTTGTTTCTTCAGAATCGGAGGCAGAATGTGAGAGAAGTAGTGAGTTCTTAAGTTTTCGCGCCTCAGGCCAAAGCAAACATAAATAATAGTTTTTAAATGAGACAGGACGTTTCAGAAGCGGGGGTTGGGCGGGGGGGACATGGAGCACAGCGTGTGTGGTGAGGTGATGTGCCGTGAGCTGGGAGCCGGGCATAAACACTCAGCATCCTTACTGCCTAATCGCACGGTACACAGTATTCATTTTAATATTTAACACTTTCATGTTACGCACGATATATCTCGTTTAGTAGCACTGTGCGTTCTGATATTATATAACTTACTTGGTATCTAAAAGAATCATTTAAATATGTTAATGAAAAGCAACCAACGATCAAGACTTGCAATAATACGGTATCACTGCGGAAAATATTATATAAGATGCGTTATATTACATTCTTTCGTTTTGGAACTTAAATTTAGTCATTTTATTCTTTTAATTATTTACAAAGTTTATTAGTACGTATTCTACATAATACATTAATTTGACGCTCACTTAGTTGTGGCAATAAACAGATGCGTAATATATAAAATAAATGTTTTATTTTTCAGTAGAGTTTATTTTATGCGAACACTGACAATGGCCTGGTGCTTGAATTATTCTGCAAAATATAAAAATCAAGACGAAAGAAATATGTCAAAAATGGATTAAAGATACAGGGTAAATACGAATGTTAGGACCGATTTAAAATATTTAACAACTAAGCGGAATGCAGAAATGAGCATTTATTAAAAATACTAAACGGCATTACGAAAATAAAACTTAAATCTTTGTGAAGAAAACTTCAAAAAATTATTCTAGCTCACGAGAGAAGTGACGTAACTCCAACGTTGACAACTAGGAGAGCGACAGTTGACATGACAGTAAATTGATCTAAGTCGGGTAAGCGTGTTTACGTTCACGAGTTTCATTTCATAAAACATGTGACCACTTTTTAACTTGATTTTCTGAGGAAAGTTCATAAAAATTCTCCACGTTCAAATTCAATTCCCTTTCTGGGGTTAAACAGCCATCTAGTTGTCATGTCAACAGTTGCGCTCCTATTGGTCATCGTCGGAGTTACGTAACTCCTTCCGTATTCTACAATATTTTTTTTGTAAAGTCTTCCTTCTACCGATGTTTCATTTCTCTATTGTGTTCAATCTTTGCTAATACGTATTTGAAACCACAGAGATAATTTGTGTTCACTTTGTATGCACTCCTAACTAGGATACACGTTTCCATTCTTGTTTACTAAGGGATTAGGCAATGTAGGCAGAGGGTTGCAACACAAGATGCGACGGGGATAACGTATGTCAGCGGTAAGGGTTCGCATTCCAGAGATTCCTCTGTCTGCATGGAAAGCAGACCTCCCGCTGCTACTGATGCTGGTGCTACACCATCTGCTAGACCCTTGCCAAAACCTCCAGCATCATCTTCCATGGACCCGTAACACATATTGACACTCCCCCATGTACCAGTAATTGGCCCACCCTGAGAGTTACAACGCCTCTCCTACCCTAAGTATCACAGGATCATGTGTTACAAGCCAGCGCCCGACGGAGCGGGTGGGAAACTTGTAACTGACTCCGCAGAGTAAAGTTCTTCTTGAGGATCTGTTAGACCTTCATACAGATAGGAAGTTCCCAGCTATATTAGTCCCGAAGGTTCATTGCCGTCTACAGTAGGCAACATATCAACCTTTCTGATACCACAAATCAATTCTTCAAAATAATCTCATATATTCCGATTTACTGAGTGATATCATCGAAGGCCAGGTTGAAGGAAAGCGAGGACTGGGAAGAAGACTGATACAGCTAATCGACGACCTTAAACAAGGAAAGAAGATGACGTTCCAGGAATTAAAGCGAGAAGCCGAGAATAGGGACAACTGGAGAGCTCTTTTTGGGCAGAGCAATGGACCTGTCGTAAGACAGAACACTTAATAATAATAATATTCCGATTAAACAGAATGCAGACAAACTAAGGTATAGACAGAAGGCATATCTTTTGTTTTAATTTCAACGTGGAAGTAAAAATTACAGCAATACAATATAAAAAATTCACAGACCCCCCTGGGCACAATTTGCAGACCCTCGATTGAGGAACGCTGTTGTAGACTTTGTTCAGAAAGCCTCAAGTTAAGAGATAACTTCGGAGACCAAAGTAAGTTTTATTTAAAAAATTAACTGAAAGCAATGGTCATGAAATTGTGGAATGAAGTAACCTGAGTCTGGATACAAAAAAGGGCTTTTGTGAATACGATGATGTGTTACATACAGACCGAGAATTTCTTGATCATCTAAGTACAAACTTTTCGAGAAGTAGCCCACGCATGGACTTAATCATATGGTATCTGCAATAGACTTAGTTTGTTACCGCTGTTAAATATAAATTAACGTGAATGTCCTAGAATAAAATGGATTCGAGAAAGAAACATAGAATATAACATCGAATCTTTCTGCATGACTAGTCTTCCGTGTGCCATTCCACAGCATCTTCAATGGGCACACTGACTGTGGCGATAAATTCTTTACGTGATATTTTAAAATAGGTCGTTTTTCTGTTTCCATGTTTCAGATCACGAAACTGAAGATCGACAGCAATCCATTTGCCAAGGGTTTTCGAGATTCCTCAAGGCTCACGGAATTCGAAAGGTAAATACCGCAGATTCCTTTAACAGAAATCGCTTCTGGATAAATCTATAAATAAGTTTGTTAGGCCTACGTGTGCCAACTTAAAGTAGGCTAATTACTGACAGCGTGGAGAAAGATTCCCATCGCTTAATTTCAGTTATTTTGTTAAACGTTTCAAGGTCCGAGGTAACATGTGTAGTGTTTTTATGTTAAACACGCTGCATTTCGACAACAGAGATCGATTGGTTCTCAGAAAAAACTTCCTTAAACTTTATTAAACAAACAAACAAACAAACGTGGTGACCGAAATGTGGTATGAACTTGAAGTTTTAAAATTCTGTTATAATGGAGTTCCATGTACAATATATAAGACAATTTGTATCATTCTACAATTTAAACATCGTTCAAAATGTAAATTACCTTCACGCTATATTTAACGCGGTAATATGTATTATTGTGACAATGATAATTTATAATAAGGGATTTGTATACATCTTTAATGGTATGAAATAAGACACGTTTTTATCTGCTCGATATTGCATAGTCTCGGAGCTGTATAACAAAATTACATTTCTTAATGCTGTTAAAAATAAACAATTTTACTTGAATTTCTTTATTTCAAGTATTAGGCGTATATAGGCCATTGACTATAACTTTTTGAATGCCCCAACGTTTTAAATAATTCTGGGCTAAATTTCTAAAATCTTCTTGCTAGAGTAATAATTAACAAATTGCATTACATTTTATAGAATATTCGGTTAGAATAAAAATTCTTGATATTTCCTCTCCTATGGATTGGTATTAAACAAAATTAATTTCAAAATGGCTGTCTTCTATATGTTGTACCGTGTAGTTTATTAAACTTCTACCAGACTACACGGCGTAACAACCCAGAAGACAAGACATCTTTAGACTCACCGCCGTGAATATCTCAAATCCTACAAAATTAATTTCGCCAGACAAATTTTGTTTAGGACTAGAAACCTAGCTAGATATCCCAAACTTCGGCCATTCTTATTTTCAGAGATGGCATATCCGTTCGGACATACGGAAGTACTACACCTTACCATTATGCGTTTAGTTCATGCAATTTGTACAAAGAACACTTGAAAATAAACGTATAAACACTCATGGTTGGTTTTCCACACACATTAACACCACAAACAACACTAAGAGTGTCTGTGGCCTTACTTGGCTTATTTATAATTTGTCCATCCCTGACGTCTCGCCTTGCCTCGGCAAGGCAAATCATTTGCATTTGTCACCTGACGTAGGAGACATTTTTCTCTTAGCATAGGTTTTTACGATGCGTCTGAAATTACCATAGCCTTTATAATAATGCGCGACACGGAATTAATGTTCTAGCTCTTAGTTCCCGTATCGATCACAATGCCACGCATTTATCACGCACACACCTGTTGGTGCCTTCGATAGTAACCACCACACCAAATGCAAACTGCCTGAAAATGTTAAGAACACCAAATGTCTCATTGCACTAGCCTGCAGAGAGGAAAAAATATTGACGCGGTTAATGGCTCTAGGTAGACCTCGAAATCAGGTAAAGGCCTAGAGATTAACCCCTTGAAGCCGAAGATCGTCTGAATATTATTTATAAATTCAGTCCGTACCGCGAAGAAAACACTTCACCTCACCATTACGAAAATCAGCTGGTTAACCCTTTGAAGCCGAAGCTCGTCTTCATAATATTTACGAATCCAGACCGTACCGCGAAGAAAACACTTCACCTCACCATTAGAAGTCGAATCAGGCGGTACCACATAAGATTTAATAAAAGAACATCCCGGTCAAAGCCTTAATGTCCAACTGTGGCGAGTTAGCTAAGCGCGTTCAAGAACACTGTGCAACAAAATTCGTACAAAACTATACCCAAAATAAAATTATTCAACATTTAATTTTAAATCTCGCTTTACAAGCGTCGATTCCAGCTCTGAACTTTGCACTGCAGTCATTTTTCTGGTCTATTATTGATAACAGATAGTAAAAATACACAAAGGCGGTGCCCCTGGTAGCATATTATTAATACAAAGTTTCTTAGATTCAGTAATCATTCAATTGAGGGTTCAGACACACGGACATTCCATAAAAATGTCTTTTTTCTTAAGGTAAATAGGCCAGAACTTGATTTATTTAGAAGAAAACAACGAAACAAAAAAATAACAGATCTAAAACTTCTTGACGATGGTGAAGAGTCAATTGAATAAAAATTTTCTTGGATATTATCCATCGTCTAGTAAATATAAAACGTAAAACGACGTTTCGGAGATGGGACTCTATCTCCGTCTTCAGGTTCCTACACAGTTGGGCCCACTAGATAGAGCTAATCCCTATCTCCGAAACGTCGTTTTTACGTTTTATATTTACTAGACGATGGATAATATCCAAGAAAATTTTTATTCAATTCAAAAAAAATAAGTTTAAAAATGACTGTCTTCTGGGTTATAGCACCATGTAGGGCGGTATAAGTTTATCGACGTTTCAGAGGTACTTGCTGCCTCCAGCATCAAATCGGTAAAGGACGCAGCAGCTGCAAGTACCTCTGAAACGTCGATAAACTTCTTTCAAACTACGCTGTAGAATTTTCATACTCGTCGACGTGATAACCTTAAAGCCTACAAAACGCAATTTGTTTAAGCATTAATGTTGTCGTCATTCGGGCTTGTTTACTCCTGTAGTAGAAGGTAGGACTATGCCTCATTTGTCTTCCTGTTGTTCAAAGTCACATGTCACCCTGGTGCCGGAAGAGCCCAGTGGCAACATGTAGGCATGTATTTAAATTATTATCCAAACCATTATCTATCTCGTGAGAGAGATAAGAATCATAAGCTCTCAACTGCAGTGTTATGTCGCCGTAGGCTGTGAGTTTACATTATCAAGTTTTTACTTGTTCACTGAGTCTACTCTGTATTTATACGGCAAAGCCAATTATCGTCAAAAATAAGATCCTACATGATTCGTTATAATTTTGTGAGTTAAAAAAAATGGCGATTCGAGTTTTAAACATATGTTGGATGTAAGGTATGTATGTTTAGCAACTACATTCCTACTGTACACGCCATAAATTATGCAAATGTTTCTCAAAAGGTGTGCAGAGAGCGTGTGCATTCACCTGAAGTTCACCAAGTATGATAATAGCTGTGACACATTTTCCGGGCCTTGTCTTGCCATATCATCGGCCTGATCTGCGGTTCTATTGTAAATTATTGCTACCTAAACGTCTTTAATTTCTTTATACGTACTGACTACTTAACACTATTATAGTAGTAATTTATAGCTAAGTAATGTATGTAATACTTTATTACTGTTCTTTTAAATGTGCGTAGGCCTGTCTGGTTAACAATTTTATAAACTTCAAAGTCTTAGCAGGGATAGTCGAGTTAGTAAAGTGATTAACCACAGGATAAAAGACACCTGCTCGATTCCCGACTACAGTAGTGATCCACAACCTTTTCTCACCGGCGACACACTTCTTAAAGAAACATGGCGGCACACCGCAATATTTTGCCGTACGAAACGACTTTTTGAATAAACATGTTATCTACATCTCGTATAAATCCATGTCCTATAAGAATACAGGCCCATTCTAAATTAAACTGTCGATGATGAACCAATCTGTGAGGTTATGTGAATTGTAATTACTGACGATAAGATATTTCCTTTTACCAAAGTACGAATATACAATTTGTCAAAAATATTTTCGGCACGATGATTGCAGAACACTGGTCTAGAACATGGATTGTTTTCTTTGCCGCAGCGTCCGGACTGGCTCTGAGCCCCACATGAGCTCCCGTTCAATAGGTACCAAGATCTCATTTCCCGGCATGCAACTGGCTACTCAATTTCATGAATGCGGGGGTTAGGAATGTATAGAATTTGACCTCCACTGTACAACTTAGAATTTCAAGGATGGACCATTCCTAATGTTAAAAATTATCCAACGTCTCGGTAAGCAATGTATTTGCCATCTTCAAGGTGAATATATTAAATGTTGAATAATTTCCAGCAAACGATGTGGTTCATACCCGAAACCCGAACCTGTACCTACATTAAACTCTGCCGTAAAAACCAAAGGACAAAGAATTACCTCCACTGCCCCTTATACGCCTTCAACAAATACGACAACAACTTTCTCTATCGAATATTCATACGACCCTGCACAACAAGAATTGTTGTCTTCTGTCTAACTTTCAATTAGATGCACTTAGGCAATAAAATATCACCGATTAGACCCTCGATCAAATTGTCTGTTATTATATCAACTAAGGTGAAGAATGATTATGAATTATACATCTTCTTTCTACAAGCAGTTCCATGGCTTGTAGCATAAAAGCTCTACTCGAATACAGCGACAAACTCATTCCGATAAACGACTAAGATTTTAACATACTATAATTATGAAAGCAAAATATGTTATTATAAGTTTATTATATTCAACTCGAGAAAGGGCAGTTCGACAGGCACTGTCTCAGTATCTCTGCTAGCTAAGTTATTGCAGAAAAGAACAAGTAGACCACTGATATTACTGTTCATCAGTCACAGTTTTACTATGCCTGCGAGCCAACATACACGTTCAGACTAAAGAGCGCATTTGAAAACAATATTCGAAGCAAACAGCAATGGAATGTTGACACAGAAACATTTGCATATTTGTTTAGTGCGTCTCTGAAAACACAGGGGCTCTTAAATGGCAAAGCACGCTTCACGGAAAAAAATAAAATATGACGTCTTACTGTCTCATTTCAGACTGATAATTAACCATTCTATTATTCTGCGACGATCCAAATCCAGTCTTTATTTTGATGTTTAACTGAGACAATTTTAGACATTCTGTCACATTTGTGGATGGGTAAATGCGAGTGGCAGGATTTTAAAATTCCTCTCGAAAAGTGGATGAAAGTAAAGATGATGTTCATAAAACGCTCAACAGTTTAACTTTGGATTCGAACCACGGTAACAGGGTTGGGGGAGGGGGGGGGGCTAAAATTTCATAGTACACAAAGTTTCGATTTCGTCAAAGGTGAGAGAAAGGCTGGTCTAAAACTCCGAGATCAACTGCAAAGGAATTCAATAAATTGAAATGTTTAATAACGTACTTAATTATAATATTATTAAGACATAAAGCTGGAAGTTATATTTCCTTACATAGTAGCAGTTCTTTGAAGTTAGTGGATAACTTCTGGTCATTCTGTAGAGGATAAATACTTCCTTTTGTCCCACAGTCTCTCTTTCATAAACGAAGACCGTGTGTATTTTTCTCGAAGAAAGTAATTTTTCCATCCTGATGAATGTGGGCCATAAAACAAATCTGCTACTGTTACTTGTTACAGCTTCTTCTCCTAATTATTTATCTCCCTCTCTCACTGTTTCTAGGCTACAATATATATTTAATCATTGTCTCTTTGCTAAAGTTTAGATGGAAATGAAAGCAATTTTCTTGATGTGTTGAAGAAAGAATAGATGTAGCATTATTATTTCAGTACGATTTAATGCGTCTGTTAATTTATTTGGAAGGATACAATCTCTCAACCCTTTCTTTCTGCAAATCCTTCTCTTGTCTCTAGAAAATAACTTCTCTGATTAATTTTCTTTGTTTTCAGAGTGAAGGCGTCACTCGAGTGAACAGCTTTCTTATTATCTCTCTTATCTGTTGCCATCAGCTTTCTGCACATCTCAGTTAATGCAGTCTGTCTGCCTGGCCATTCATTTGAAATTGAAATTAAAATTGAATTTTAGTAACACAATTTTCTGGCACGTTATCTCGATGCTGATACTATGTATAAGCTTGTAATTGCTTGCAGAACAGAACACAGAGAATGCCTGGTTTACAACGTCCTTCTCTTAGAAACAGGCGTATAATCATAATAAAGTTGTGCTTTGCATACAAATTAACATTCATGGTGTAACACCGGATTCTTTATAGGCCTTTAATCCGGTAAATAACATATCGAACATAGGAAGTTAGAAACTTTGAATTAATTACTAGTTCTCATATTGCATGAATTTAAACGCTTTCAACTAAAAGTTTTCATTGCATGAGCTTCTAATATGCTTAAGCTATTATTTATTAAATAACTTGTACGTTTATTATTGGTGTTGAGCAATAATTCCTATGTACAACTTCAATGTTGTTCTCATGGATTTAATCGTATGTTTTAATGTTTCCTATGGATCAAAATGTATGCTGACACCAACAGATAGTCACGTACCCTAACAAATTTCAAGCTATGGTTCTTCTCTGTCTGAACAGTGAGGGGCGGCACATATTTTTATATGAACTAACATGAGAAATTAAATGGTCCCAATACACTTTTCGTCTCATAGGCCTGTAGAGTAATTCTTAGATATTGCACTGGGAATCCTTACTTTGTCAGTTTACACGCTACTTTATTTGTATATACATCTGTCCTCTAACATGGCGACCCCTGCGGAGTGTGCGTTTTTAAATTTTGTTCCTCTTAAAACTCCTCCGCTGATCTGTGATAATATTTAGACGTTTTAGAAATTCTGTGAACCCACAGGACAGTCCTTCCTCAGTTTGCGAACAGAGGTGTCGGACTCCCGTTATAGAGGGCGACTGATAAATATTAAATCAGAAGTAGTTGACAGCCTACGAGGGTAGATTCTTCAGTTAAGGGAGCGGTACAGAGCTACTTAACCCGATCATAAGGAAATCTACTGTGTGACAAACTATTGCGTAATTCCTTTGGTTCAGATTATTTGTTAAGACGAAAAATACAGGATATGTAGCACGCATGGAGGAGAAACATGCATACACAGTTGTAGTTCATTCTAAAGGATATTGACAATGCTGCATCTCAATAGTTTTAATTAAAATTCTGAGAATTTTCCATCGTCTATTGTTTGTCACAACACGACGTTTCGGGGAATGGGTCTGTCTCTGTCATCACGTGAAATATGAGCTTAGACGGAGCTCCTTCTAAGGGAACCCACTGCTGCTCTCTTATTTTACCTGATGACGGAGACATCTAGACCCCGAAACGTCGTTTCAGGACAAAAAACAGACGATGGATAACGTCGAGGATTGTAATAAAAACTAATACAAAATTGTAGTTTTGAACAGAAATTGTAAATACATTTTGGAGATCTAGACGCATATCGAAATATCTGTAATTTAAAGAAAGATTGTAGAAAATTTGAATGTGAATTGAGTCAGACTGACAAGGGCCAAAGAAGGGCTTTATGGAGACGCGATATGGCGACCCTTTAAATGTAGGAACTTTTTTACAGGAACACAAGATCCAGCGCACTAAAATTTGAAGATGTCTTTTTTGTGGGTTATCGCGTCTTTTAGTATGGTAGAACTTAACCCACATTTCAGAGCCGCTTAGTGCCTCCATCATCAGGTCGACTGCCTTGAAACGTTCTATCAGACTATACGATGTAGCATTCCAGAAGACACTCGTCGCCGTCAGAACCTAAAAATCTCACAGAACTTTATATTCTTTCAGGGAGACAATGGAGTCGATGCTAGCTGAACAGCACTACCTGCGATCTCCTCTCCGTCCTTTCACCGAGTTGGACACCCACAACAACAACCTAACCCTCGAGGAGAAAGCTCTTCTAGCCGCACGTTCTCAGTTATTCCTGCGAGCAGCCGCGGCAGCTGCAGGTCCATATGGCCCTCTCATGGGTCCCATGTGCTCCCTATATGGGGCTGCCAGCGGTGCCGGGAGCGGAGGAGGTGGAGTTCCTCCGGGCATGCTTTGGAGTCAGTGGGCATGCCTGGGCCCGTCACTGCTCGCGGCTCACCATCAGCATGCTCAACACCTGGTGGCTGCTGCCGCAGCAGCCTCCAGCAACGCCGTGGCGGCTGCTTCTCACCAGGGACCACCGGCTCTGCCTCGACCACTCTATCCCCCACAACTGAGCGGTGGACTCTCTCAACATCGTTTCTCTCCTTACGGACCGCCAGCGAGTAGCATCAGGAGAACAGTGTCTCCGGTGTCGTCTCCTGATAGCATCCAGGACACTTCCGAGATCTCTTCTCACAGTCCTTCCTTGACGTAGGCGCCGACAACCCGCTATTGTCAACGAGGTCGTAGCACAATGGCAGCATCCACGAAGCGAAGATTTGTAGCCAGAAATAAAGTGATTATATAGTGACTGGTATCAAGTGAGTACCACTGAAGTGCAGAATCAATGTTCTTCGCAAGAAAACCAAACCATCGGACGCAGTGTCGTACATTGAAACAAAGTGCGGTATTTTAATGACTTTTAAACAAAACTTAATTAATGAAACCATTTCACTTCAGACATTCAATAGATTTATAGTGATACCTACTAACAGTAATTCATACTTACTTCAAGAAATGTATTAGTATAAAAGTGACGAAGATCCCACCAACAGAGAAAGTCGCAATGCCTTACGATGGTTTATTTCAGTTTATTAGCCGTTTTGTAAAACAATAAGCACCATTGTACCCCTAAGGATGGTCACGTGATGCTCCACAAGTTCCTAAACTGCCTGTAATTTCATTATCAATAACGACAACATTCGATTTTGTTGTTTCTCCTGCAGAAAATGGCGTTATTAAGTAAAGTCATGAAGATTTCTGTCTTCTGGGTTATTGCGCTGTGTAGTCTGGTCGATGTTAACCAACGTTTCAGAGGTCATACTGCCTCCGTCATCAGGGCGATGAATATGCCAATTGGCATAAGACAGAAGACAGAAATCTTCATACTCACCGCTGTGAGAACCTCAAGTCTTACAAGTAAAGTCATATTCCGTGATTGTCATCTAGCGGAATAATCAAATAAAATGACGAAGTGAAGAAAAACGTCTGGATTGTCGTGTAGCACGCCAAATATTTAGGTACAGTACGTGTTATGTGTATTATATAAAAATGATTAGCTTTTAGATGTACTTTCAACAAACAGTATTATTTTCACTTTGCCTGTTATAAACTTACGCTATGTTTAGTGAAACAGAAACTTGGACAAGTGTATTTTAAATATTTGCTACAGTCCTTTGGAAATATACTACACTCAGTGTCCTCTGCTGTATAATACTCCCCCATCCCCACTCTCTAGTTCTAATTTATCTGTCAAACAAAAACGGCTTAATTGTTTTATCTGTAACATTCTTGTTGTTTATAAAACAGTTGTATAAAAATATGTAAATTCTTTATTTATGTTCAATAAGGTATTTGATAATATCTGAATAGATGTCCATCTGTAAGTATGGTAGATTTTAATTTTTAATTATATGTTTTCTTTGCAAGTGTGAGTGGGTTTAGATGAAGTCTGTGCCAGAAAGGACCTCAAAATATTCAAATAAATTGTTATTTATTTGGAGTTACTGTAATTTATTTATATTCAAATATCTTAGCAGAAAATCATGCCCATGTAAATAAGCATGTTAAATAAGGCCCTCATGTTGCTTTACATAAATAAATGACTACCCAATACTCTCGGTTAATTACACTCTTGTCTTAATTCTGTGACGGAACAGGCACCAATTACTTTTCTTTAAAAATGTGTTTCCAACCTTGTTCCTTTAGCGACCTTTGCGAAGATTAGTGTGAATGAAAACATTTCGAGGGCTGTGGCCTGTTATACTGTATTATCCCAGGAGTTTCCAGAAGCAACTAAGGAAAACTACGAAAAATCCCAGGCAGGAAATCTGGTATCAAAGATTAAGTCTGGTACCGGGAGAACTTTCGGATACGAAGCAGAAATGCAACGTTCCTAACTTTGTAAAATGGGGTGTATCTGTTATTTATTTAGTGTTCTGTCTGACGACAGGTCCATATGAACAGGAGCCTTCCATCCTTTTCTCGGACTGGGACCTGTTCATATACGTTCTTGGCAGATGATCCAGAAGTGGTTTGCCATTGCCTTCTTCTGTGTGTGAATGGAGTAGTTGTT